CAACTTCATCAAAAAAAGTATTATATGAAACAATTTTACAAGATTAAACAATTTCATGAAAAAATTTCATAAGATTAAACAATGAAATCGACAGATGAAGGTGGTTTGCACGGTTTACACAAATGAGGGCGGTTTTCATATGATCACTCCTCTATATATATGGCAAGATCAAATGCTAACCATTATTTTTGTGTTAACCTTATTAACTGATCTTGGTCATCCAAATCTATAATCAACGGTTAAAATTAATCAATAAAAAAATTTAAATTTTAAAGTTTGAATTTTAATGAGGCCTAGTGAACAATGATGAAAGGAGCATTTTGGGAAGAAAAATACACTTATCAAGGGTATTCTAGTAAGTTGAATATGCATTCATATTATTATTATTTTTTTTACTATTGATTTTCCATGTTCATTCTTGTATAAATTCCTAAATCGCATAAAAACACGGTAGTAACAATTTTCGATATTGATCAATTTGAACACAAATGAACCGTGAACACAATTTGAACAACCGTGAACACAATTTGAACACAAATGAACCGTGAACACGATATGAACACAAATGAATACGATATGTGCAATTTTTGACTCATATATTCACATACATAGACGTCCCACAAAATTAAGGTAGCATCTGTTAATTCGTGTTCATCTGTTAATTTGTGTTCATCTGTTAATTTGTTCAAATTGTGTTCACGGTTCATTTGTGTTCAAATTGTGTTCACGGTTGTTCATTTGTGTTCAAATTGTGTTCACGGTTCATTTGTGTTCAAATTGTGTTTACGGTTGTTCATTTGTGTTCAAATTGTGTTCACAGTTCATTTGTGTTCAAATTGATCAATACCGAAAACCATTACTACCGTGTTTCTTATGCGATTTACGAATTCATACAATAATGAACATAAAGATCAATAGTAAAAAAAATTAATAATATGAATGCATATTTTTTGGGATTTGATTGTTTGAAACTCCTCATTAATTGTTTGGGGGTTACAAATGAATTCAATTTACTAGAATACCCTTGTAAGGGTAAAATAAACAAGACATAAACCTATAAGAATAATAGAATTTGATTGATTGAGAGGGTTTTCAAAGTTAACACAAAAATGATGGTTAACATTTGATCTTCCCTATATTATATATATATATATATATATATATATATATATATGGTATGTTTCAAATACAACCATGTCGATTTATAAAACCAATGCAACCCGATCAATTGAGATATTTATGGAAATGATAAGAGTTTATTTATTATGATTTGAATATTTATAGAAGTTATTAGAGTTTATTAATTATGATCAATACTTTATATTAGAAAACAAACAAAATTTTATGAAATCACATATTCATCAAATTAAATGGACAGTTGAGATTGAGTTGTATTAATTATACAAATATAAAGGGTTGTATAATAACTCACCAATATATATATATATATATATATATATTATATAACATTAAAAAAATTGAGGAACATGTTTATATAAACGGTGTTTATATATATATTTACAAGTAATTTGTCCATTAATTATGTACATATATATGACATGCATACGTATGTAAAAAACACAAAAAACAATATGAATATTGTTCAAATGAATGTTTACCGGTGTGTTTATTAGTTTTTCATTTTTTTAGTTATGGTGGAAAGCATAATAAATGATCTGAACATTTGACCACTTTAAATCTCATGTTCACCCAAGAATTGCATTTAAAAATGGATTAATTTGATACATTTCATTAGTGTTGACATTCAACTAAAATTGATTCAGAGGTGGAGATTTTTTTTTCTTACGATTCTCACCATGATTTTTATTTTTTCACCAGAATCCAACCATATATATATATATATATAGAGAGAGAGAGAGAGAGAGAGACTTGGGATTATGTGAGACCAATGGTTTTTCGTGAGACCCGTAAGACCAATTCTCAACCCTTGGATTAGATCTATAATCTGAAAATCTAAAAATTCATAAACGCCACAAGACTTCTCAATACTCACAAAATTGTCACCGTGCAATTTAGTTCATTACATCATTAACTTTTAAAGTTTATCAATGAACATAAATTGGTCTTACGGGTCTCACGAAAAACCCTTGGTCTCACGTAAACCCAACCCTATATATATATACTTACACACACACACACACACACACACACATATATATATATATATATATATATAATCAAATGCAAACCACCCAATTTGTACAAACCGTGCAAACCACCCTCATCCGTCGATTTCATTGTTTAATCTTATGACATTTTTTTTCATGAAATTCTTTAATCTTGTGAAATTGTTTCATATAATACTTTTTTTTTTGATGAAGTTGTTTCATATATAGTTATGAAATTGTTTCATATAATACTTAATGAAATTCTAATGAAACTGTTTCATTTTTTCTCTAAAATTTAAATAATGAAGATGATAATATCCATGATTAACACTCTCCACAATAAAAAAATGATTAATCAAATTCTCATAATTACAAAAAAAAAATGAACAAAATGAGAAATTATAATTGGTTGAATGAGTTTTGTACGGTTTATACAAATAACATGGTTTGCAAAGTAAACCTCTTATATATATATATATATATAGAGAGAGAGAGAGAGAGAGAGAGAGAGAGAGAGATGGGGGAAGGTTCAAATGAGAAAACTAACTATTTCAGAAAATAAGAAAGATGTCATTGATGAACAAAATCATATGTAATTTTACATTAACGTCAAAAAAATGCAATTGTACGACTTTTGTCGCGAGCAAATTCGCCCTGAATCATATATGATTTTTGCACATTAACGACTTTTTTTCTTGTTTTATTAAATAGTCAGCGTTCTTGTTTGAACTTGTCCATATATATATATAGAGGTTGGTTATTATACAACCCTTGACATTTGTGCAACCAATACAACCCAATCTCAACCGTCCATTTCATTTGATGAATATGTGATTTCATAGAAGTTTTGATTGTTTCATAATATAAAGTATTAATCATAATTAATGAACTCTATTCATATTCCATAAATATTCAAATCATAATAAATGAACTCCCATCATTTCTATAATAATCTCAATTAATTGGGTTGCAAGGGTTGTACAAATACACAAGGTTATAAAAGAAATATACCCTATATATATATATATATATATATAGGTGTTGGTTTCACATGACCAGCATGTTTTTATGAGACCCGTAAAACCATTTTTTTATACTTGAAATTCCACAATAAAACACCATGAAACTAAAAAAAATCGGACTTTCACAGCAAAAACACTGTAAAATATTACATTTACAACGTTTTACTATAAAATTTCAAGTATAAAAAAGTAAACATATATTTTATTTCACCTTTTTCAAAAACACAAAGTGAAATCATAATTAGAAATTTTGATGAATGTAATACTTTATATATAAATTGATAAATAATTGGTGTTGAAAATATGCTTCTTATTATTTCCTTCAATTACTATTTTTATAACATTTTTTTTATAATTTTAAATACTTATTTCAAATATATAGTAGCCAAATTTAAGCTATCTTTTAATTATTTATTAAATATTAAGGTAACAACTTGGGATCATGTAATCTAAGATCAGCCTGTTTTTATGAGACCATTTTTTACACTAAAAATTTTACAACAAAACGTTGTGAAATTTCGGTTTTTTTATCTTTACTGCGTTTTGTTGTAAAGTTTCAAGTGCAAAAAATGTTCTCACGTGTCTCACGAAAACAGTCTGGTCTCACAAGAACCCAACCGTTAAAAATATTAATGTTCATTTATATACAAAAAAGTCGGTAATCTCAAGGTTTCAACGGATATAATTTCTCTAATTTTTACGGTAGATGAGATGTTTACATATATTTTATCTTCAAAACTTTAATACTTTTAGATATGTAAGCGTTTACCAAGTAACTTTACATCAGCGTATTAATATGGTAAAAACCAAGAATCTTATCTGGTAAGAGTGAGACAAAGACTTAGAGTCTTACCTTGTAAGTGTGGACGACGACTCTTACCACCGTAAGCGCTTACCGGATAAATTGTTGCATACAATGTCGTTTTGATGGAGTTAAATCTTACCCGATAAGTAAATAATAATGTTAAATTTTACCGGTAAGCACTTACCGGATAAGTGTTTGATAAAAGTTCCTTAAGTCTTATAAAATATTTCTTAGGATATTTTATATATTTTAAATAATAGTATAATTGGTATTAAATTTTAATAAATTATAAAATAATTAAATTGATGGGAGTTTCAATCATTTTATTACCAAAAATAAAAAATTAATTAAAAAAAAAGAGTATCAATTTAGAAAAATGGAGCAATTTAATGATTTAGAAATTAAAAAATGGAAGAAAGATTTTGTATGTAGATACGATGAGACCCACAATCCGTCATCTATGGTCATTCACGCACGGGTGATTTCTTCCCCTGCTAAAATGACTCAAATAACCCTGGAAGGCGCTTCTATTGTTAGTGTGATTACAAAGGAAATGGTTGGGGCGAATGGGGAAACCAGAAAAAGATTGATTTGAAGGGTGGGGATCATCTCGAGAGTGTTTCAAATCTCAGCCGTTGATTGAATTGAGCGTCACGATTGCGTATTTGACAGTTTTTGAGGGGATGATTACTGGGTTTAACCGGGGGGAATTTTCAGGTGTGATGGGGGTGCAGAGATGTGACCGTGGGGTGCAACAGAAGGGTTATTTGATTTACGAGGTTATCAAATGGGATGGGGGTGCATGGTAAGTATCGTATGTACAGCAATTAATATCAATCTTCCCCAATCCACGTCATCCCGTTTTAGAAACAAATTTGCATTCTTTTTAACTCATTTTTTAATATTTACTATATTACATCTACAAATTGGATCAAAATAATCGATTTCTTTTATTAACTTAGATATCCAACCCGTTATGCAAATTAACTGATCCCAAAATAATAACATGCTTTGCAGGTAGTTTGGATTCATCGTATCTGAACCTCTGTGGCCACAAAGAGAAAATAATCGATTTTTAATCATTTTTTAACTGAATTTATATTTTAGCTAGAATTTATGAAAATTATGAAGAAAAAAAAAAGAAGAATAAATTAATCTGGAAATAAAGTTTGCACAAATGTATAAGGAATTTGAGTAAAATCTATTCGTATGAGTAATCACCTTTAATCTCTAACCTTTCTATGAATCGTGCTTGATACAAAGATTGATCTGGTGCATTTCATTCTAATGTGCATCCGATGGTGAAGTATCTTCTTACGCTTCTCATCTTAACTGTCTTTTTCACCGGAACTCAACTTTTTGTATAGATTGAGAAGGTTTTTGGTTGAGAAGTTTTTTCATAGATAGAAGGAGCGATGACATGTTTGAAAAAACTGGGCTTTCTACATAAAGTTTCCCCTCGAAGTTTACTGAATAAGCCACCTTATGTATCGTTTAGCCACTACCAAGCAGTCGTGTATGATTAACTGCATATGCGATTTTAGTTCCAGACTAGAAGTCAAACTGTATACGTCTCAAACTGTAAAAAATGTATGGGAAAACGAGGTACGACGTGATGTAGTATGTATATGACATCTTTTGGAATCTACAATTTTTTAATTATACATACGATGCAAAATTTAAATACATATAACATAATGGGAAATTAATAGAAATAGTCATTTTTTTTTTGTATTTTTGTCTTTTTGTTGTCTTTTTCCTTTTTTATACTAATTTTGTTTTACTCATTTTATTTAATT